ATTCACACGGATAAATACACCACATTTCTCACAACACACCCCACACACATCCCATCTACACCACACACATAGTCAACACCAAACCACACATACATATCCCCCCACACCACACACAATCCCCATACATACACATAAACCATACATACACACACGAATTACATACACATACCACACCACACAATCCCCCACCCTATATACACATACACACCACATACACCACACAAATACACATACACATACCACATACATACACAGTGCCTACCCCCTCATACACAGACACATCCCTCAAACACCACATAACAGACCATGAACACCACGCACCATACCACACACACATCCCCCACACACCACAGATATACACCACACCACACACACACACACACACACACACAGATTCAGGGCTGCAGAGAGGGACAGACTACTAACTAAAAACAACCCAAGCTTACACGTTGTTGGGGATGTTCAATCATACGCATCAGAAATCTAAGTGAACTGCTCCAATTCAGAGCTATGCTGGTTCCTCCTGAGAATAGAACCCAGCCTGAGGCGTGCCTCAGATCATTCCAGCAGGCCTTACTGCCCCTTAGAAAGGCTTCCTTGTCTATCAGAAATAATGGTAACATCAAAACGAGACAGTTTAAATAAACACCCTCTGACACTGTTAACTCCTCTGCTATCTTGACAGCAGCAGCATCCGTGAGGGAACCCAGGCTCGGCACTGTGGCCTCCATGAACCTGCCCCTCTGCTTCTCCCACGCATCACTTTTGTGTTCCACAGCTGCTCTCTGTGATGGACTTTGTTTCTTTTGTCACATCTGATACCTCTGCCTGAGAGTTAGCCTTGCTCTTTGCCTGGATGGCTGTAGTAGTTTGACTCCTTGTGATTATAATTTTCCCACGGCATATTATCATAAAGGTTGCTGCTAGCTTAACATATTTTAATCTTCCAAGCAGCTTAAAGAACCTTCTTTTAACAGCTCTACACCAACAGCTGAAAATGTCCTAGTTACTTATGTCACAAGCCTGACATTGTGGGTTGTACCTCCCCACACACAGCCTCCTTTCTCTACTAAATTTCCCAGAGCTCATCAGCCTTTTCAAGCTAGTAGAGGATTGAAGAGCACATTCAATGAGGTGACACTATGCTTAACGTGAATTGTGGGTCCATCATTTACTGACCAGGTATTTTTAGAAAAGCTTAAAAAAAAAAAAAAACAACAACCAAAACAAAACAAAAGCCTCTGCCCTCTGTCCTCCGGCTGCTGCCAGAGCCTGAGGTGAGTCTGGGCTCTGCTCTGACCCCAACCTCCCCCATCAGCCCCTGCTTGCTTCTGCCTGAGCTCCCCCCCTCGGACAAGAGTGGACCTGCCCAGACAGAAGGCCCACCCTGAGTCTGGGCACACCTCACCCTTGTCCGCTCACCGCCCTCTCCCCCCCAAGCTGCCGCCTGAGCTTGAGCCCTCTGCCTGCTGCCTGAGAGAGGGAGAGACCCCACCTGCACCCACTGGAGGAAGGGATGGGAAGATGACAGAATAAGAACACACTCAACAACAGAAAGACCAATATGACACCACCAGAATCTAGGGACTCCACACCAGCAAGACCTGAACAGCCCAACACAGAGGGTGAAGAAGAGATGGACCTTAAAAATTATCTTATGAAAATGATAGAGACCATTAAAGAAGAAACAAGAAAATCCCTTAAAGAAATAGAAGAAAAAACAAGAAAAATTACATGAAATGGAGGAAAACTCCTACAGCTGATAAACACCTTCAGCAAAGAGGCAGGATACAAGATTAACCCAAAAAAATCAGTAGCCACAGTATATACAGAAGATAAATGGGCTGAGAAAGAAAGCAGAGAAACATCACCCTTCACAATATCCACAAACAACATAAAATACCTTGGGGTAACACTAACCAAAAAACCAGAAAGACCTGTATATTAAGAACATTGAGTCTTTAAAGAAAGAAATAAAAAATATACCAGAAAATGGAAAGATCTCATGTGCTCTTGGATAGGTAGGATCAACATAGTAAAAATGGCAATCTTGCCAAAAGCAATCTACAGATTCAATGCAATTCCCATTAAAATCCCATCACAATTCTTCACAGACCTTGAAAGAACAGTACTCAACTTCATATGAAAACAAACAACAACAACAAAAAAAACACAACCCAGGATAGCCAAAACAACTCTGTACAATAAAGAAACTTCCAGAGGCATCACCATCCCTGACTTCAAGCTCAATTAGGGAGCCATAGTCCTAAAAACAGCTTGGTATTGGCACAAAAATAGACAGGTTGACCAATTGAATTGAATTTAAAACCCTTATATTAACCCACCCACCTATGAACCCCTGATTTTTGACAAAGAAGTTATATTTATACAATGGAAAAAAGAAAGCATCTTCAACAAATGGTGCTGGCATAACAAATTTGGACATGTAGAAGATTGCAGGTTGATCCATATTTATCACCATGTACTAAACTTAAGTCCAAATGGATCAAAGACCTCAACATAAATAAAAAAAAAAAAAAAAAAAAAAAAAAAAAATCACCATGCACAAAACTTAAGAGGAAATGAAACAGAGGAAATGAAACAAAGACCTCAACATAAATTCAGCCACACTGCAACTCCTAGAACAGAAGGTATGTGGTACCCTCAAACAAATTGGTACAGGAGACCACTTTCTGAACATAACACCAGTGGCTCAAACATTGAGATCAACAATTAACAAATGGGACCTCCTGAAACTGAGAAGCTTCTGTAAGGCAAAGTACACAGTCAGTAGGACAAAATGCCAGCCCACAGAATGGGAAAATTTATTCAACAACCCCATATCTGACAGAGGGATGATCACTAAAATATACAATGAACTCAAAAGGCTAGCCACCAAAACACCAAACAATGTAATTAACAAGTGGAGATAGAGGAATCCAAAATGGCTGAAAGACACTTGAGAAAGTGTACAACATCCTTAGCCATCAGGGAAATGCAACTCAAAACCACTCTGAGATAAATGCAAATCAAAACAACTCTGAGATACCATCTTACTCCTGTCAGAGTGGCTAAAATCAAAAACACGAATGACAGTTTATACTGGAAAGGATGTGGAGAAAGAGGACCACTCCTCCACTGCTGATGGGAGTGCAAACTTGTACAGCCACTTTGGAAATCAGTGTGGCAGTTTTTTAGGAAAATGGGAATTAGTCTACCTCAAGATCCAACAATCCCCTTCTTGGTCGTATACCCAAAGAATGCACACTCATACAATAAGGACATATGTTCAACTATGTTCATAGCAGCATTATTTGTAATAGCCAGAACCTGGAAACAACCTAGATGCCCCTCAACTGAAGAATGAATAGAGAAAATGTGGTATATTTACACAATGGAGTACTACTCAGCAGAAAAACCAATGGAATCTTGAAATTTGCAGGCAAATGGATGGAACTAGAAGAAACCATCCTCAGTGAGGTAACCCAATCACCAAAAGGTAAACATGGTATGCACTCACTCATTTTTGAGTTTTAGACATAGAGCAAAGGAGCACTAGTCTATAATCCACACTGCCAGAGGAGCTAGGAAACAAGGAGGACCCC